TCCACAACGCCATTTTCTCTTGGCTGCCAGTTTATAATTTCATATTTTGCTGCTGGATCTCCATTCTCATCAAAGTAAACCTCCTCTCCTTCTTTTGTTTTGAAGTAAATGTTTTTTATGTGCTGTAAAATCTATAAAAAGGCATTAATTTATTTAATTACCCATGAGTAATTTGGCAAAAAGATGAGATGTAACTGGCAAAAGAACAAAAAATATCAATTTAATGTACTTTAAAAATATATATAAAAACATTTTTTTAATTGATTGTTATTGTGTAATGTTAAAACTATACTTTAAGTTATTAAAAAGCTCACCGTGAATGGGTCTAACGGAACAGCTTTGTTACATGTTTTATTACATTTGAGGATATTGTGAAGTGCATGGGCCACAGTATACACTCCTTTATAGACGTTGTTAAAGATAGGCATGAGAGACATATCAGTGTAGCTGTTTTGTACTCCTGTCAGGTCTTCATGTCCAGTACACTCTCTCTGAATGTTTGCTGATGATGCTAACTGCCTAAATTTACAGTTAAATAATGCCTCCCAGAACTCGGTAAATAGTCCATTATTAGATGAATTGAGTGGCTTCACATCCAGCATGAACTCTCTCAGGCCGCTGATATGTGCTTTTGGAATAGAAAGGCCTATGGCACCATCCAGTATGTGATGTATATCCATTGCAGCTATTTGAGAATCAACTATCCAGCCCTCGCTACCTACCCACTGGTATTCAGTCAAATTATGCTGGGATAATACATGTATTAGCACATCCATATCCATGTGTGACATAAAGGCAACAATCACCTTGGAAGTTGAAGTTTTGACAATGTCAATTATCTCTTGTATTTTGTCTGATGGATCTGTCCTGAAAAAAGATTCAGAATACTCCAGACAGATGCCCAGCTGCTGTGCAGTTTCTGTGAATGTAGCCATGCCATTATTTCCATAATCATCATTATTTCTAATAGCTCCAACCCAAGTCCATCCAAAATACTTGACCAAATGGGCCAGGGCTCTGCTCTGGTAGTAGTCACTGGGTATTGTTCTGAGGAAGGATGGGTACTTGGTTTTGTCACTGAGACAAGCACATGTGGCAAAGTGGCTGATCTAAAAGAAAAAGTCCTAAGTAGAACATTCACACTTGCATTTTTTGCCACAAATATTTATTATTAGCTATCTCACCCACCATTGGTATATAAAATGGTCCAAGGACAGTAGCTATTGCCATGCAAGGAGAGGAAGATGTCTCTCCAATTATGGCCTGCACTTGTGAAGGTCTGGTACATGCCGTCTTGGATAGTGCAGTAACAACTGTATTATCGGTAGTCAATGCCAATGCAACTTTTACACTTCTTGCAATGGAGCCACATTCATCATAGATTTTGTAGCCTAAAGAGACTCCTGGCAGTAGGTCTGTACTATTATTAATCTCTTCAATGGCAAAAAGCATAGCCTGAGCAAACTGGAAGCCTCTGAAATTCAAACTTGATTCAATTTGAAATATGGAATTAAAACCAAATGACGTTTAAACCAGAAACAGTGGAATGACAAAAGCATATACGATTATCTCAATACTCAGTATTTCACATACCTGGTACATTGCAGTGGCAGTGGTTTATGCAAGTAGGTGTCCATTCTGTCTTTCCAACTGCTGTGAAATGAGAAGATCCCCCCTAATATAATATTACCATCCTGAGATAGTTGGGGGTTTTCAGGCTCCCCCATTTGCCTGCATACTTGTTCATCAGCCTGAGAGAAAGACACCACCAATAACACTTGTAAAATTGCCCAACCCTGCTGTGGCCAGCTATGCGTTGATGTCATGCTGTCAGTGAGAAATAAAACACTGGATTGCATCACATGTGCCTTTAGATACATTTGAATCTTAAACTGGTATTTATGCATTTTTGGAGTAACATGAGAAATAATGGAGTAGTG